TTACGTTGCCATAGTGGAAAGAGTTGCACAGGTATTTAAGCTTGCCTGTCGATAGCGGAAAATCAAGGTCAGACGCTTGCTTGACGCCTAGGTTATCGTGATGTTTAAGTTGAATCTTATCGTCAAATTACCCCTGCTTTCCAGATTTAAAAATAGACGCGAGAATAAGAAAATGAGATACTCAATTCTCGGCTCTTGACATAGGCGCGATCGCGCCGCTCTCCCAATGGTCAACGCTCTTTTTCTAGATGCTGCGCTCGCTATGCTCTTTCTCGATTATCTCGGCGACATTATTGTTCTGTACTTATCACGTCGTGTAAGAGAGAGAGGGAGATTTGTGAGTTAAGTAGACATTGCGCTGGTTGTTGGGCAGACTGGGAGTGGTACAGAGAGAAAGCACGGAACAGAGGTGAAGGCTCAGCACGGAGTAGGCGTGGTGTGCGAGTCGACGAGATGCTGAAGTCGCTTGAACAAACTGGGAATACGAGCTAGAAAAAAAAGTGGTCGTGGGCCGATTTTAAACCAAAGATAACTGAATTAAATAGAATTTGTTTATTTGTCAAACTTAGGACTCACAGAGCATGAGCTCAGTGTTCCTGTGTAGCCTTAGCGGCTTACGATATCACAATATTTAGCATACGTCGTTCAGAGAGCTGCACAGTATTTAGGATCTTCAGTCCACCATATCATTCTATAATAGAACCTTCCAGACGTTTTCAGCATGTATAATGGCCTGAATAAAGACGGGCAGTTAGGCTCACCCTTACCTTTATCAATCAGTACCAGCCGTGCGTTTTTCCCGGGAGTTAGGAACAACTTCTTCTGCAAGCATGCGTTGTATAGATTCAAGAGCAGTTGAAGGTGTTTAGCAACTACTGTTTTGATGACTTCTGCCGGGATTTATTATTATTATGATTATTATTATTGTTATCATTAATATTATTATTATTGTTATTTTTAATATTATTATAATTATTATTATTGTTATTCCTAATATTTTTATAATAATTATTATTGTAATTACTATAGCTATCATTATTGTTATTATTGTTATGGTTATTATTATTATTGTTATTGTTATTCTTATTATTATTGTCATCATTATTATCATTGTTAAATAATCAATCGTATTCATTTAACTTTATCATCCGGTAAAAATTAAATGCTTGTGAATTTGGGTCTCACACTCCCTGACGGACCGTTAGACTAGCAGGCTGTCCAACTATTCATTTGTACATCGGAAAAAAAAGAAAGTATGAGGCTTTGTGAAATATACGTGTATGTGTGAACGTACCTTTTTTCAGCAGGTTCAATTCTATTTGATCCTTCAGCACCGCTTCTTTTGGTACTATTAATTTTATTTGGTATTAACTAATGCGAAATTCTGCACTATTTCTTGAACTTATTCTTTTTATTTGGTAACACAATCAATTATAACAACTTAGATTAAAATATTATGACTTGTTAATTGTATTCCAGGATTGAACTAATAATTAAGGAACACACTCGATGAGTGGTGGCAGGCTGCTATTGATTTGACAGCATGATGGGAGGCATCAGTGTCCTTTAAAGGTTCATGTAAAACAGTTAAGTTCAAGTTAACTTCTACTTGATAGGTATATTGTATCTGAGTAATGATCTTATGTTCACTTGTTAAGGTTAGTTTGTGTGTTTTTTTCATACACCCATCATTCATTTGCAAATGACTTATACCTTTTATTCTTTCATGTCGATCTATTTTATTAGGACGGATAATGCTTAATTGTCCTTCATAAGGCGTCATGAATAATCATGAATTATCTCAATCTACATTCAATCATACTTACAATCTATACTCTCAATCTAGATTCAATCTACTTTCTGTACATCAATTTGGGGAGTATGTGTGACATCAAATGCTTGATGTCATTTGTGTGCGTGTATGTGTGGCAAAAGTGTTTTTAGCCGAGTGCTCCACGCGTGTGCTCTGAGTGAAAAGCGCATGCGCCGCGCTAGAAAGAGACGGTATGACTTAGCTCCGTGCTCTCGCCGGCTTAACATCGCTCCGCCAAGTCAGTCTGCAACTGCTCTGCATCACAAAAGGGAGTAAGAGCCAGTCACGCTGCACTGCGTCTCTTCTCCCTTCTATGTAAGAAAGTCAATGTACGCGAGTGTTCAGTTCCGAACGAAAATTAAAGCTGATTCAATAAAAGGAAGTCGCCTTTTTATTTACCCGCGTACACCACGATTCCCAAAAGTTCTCGTCAACTCCTTCGTCCACGCGATCTGGCGCAACAACAGTGCAGGAGCACTGCCTCCCGGGCACCATCCTGTACATATGTGCAGCGATGAACTCACGCAAACGATCAAGAGTCGGAGGTTCATCACTACTACCTAGATGCTTCTGCCAATCTCTATTGGCAAAATTATCAAACCTACTAACGATGAGAGCGATGAGAACGTCTTCACTTCCGTTTTCTCTATCCAAAGTGACAAGAGAATCTAGGGGGCCTAACATTTCCTTAGCTAAGCGCTTCATTTCCGCACAGGAGTTGGATTTCATATTTAAGCAACTAAGAGTCGTACCTGTGTATGTAGTAACCAAGCGCTGCTTATTGTCATAATATCTGACAAGAGCATCCCAGGCCTGTGCGTAGTTTTCACCTGAGAGGGGAATATTTTTTATCAGGTCGGCTGCTTCTCCGGTCACATGGGTTCGCAGGTGCTGGTACTTAATAATTGTAGGGAGCTCGGTTTTTTGGTGAACTAAAGCCTTAAAAACGTCGCGAAAGCTTTCCCATGCCTCAAAATTGCCTGAAAACGTAGGAATGTTAACGTTGGGTAACGAAGATATACTATGTAGAGCTAAGGTGGAAGCTGAGCCGGGGTTCGCGGTCAGCGAGGTGGGAGAGTCGAACTTAGACGCATAATCCTCGAAGTCACCTGCGACTGAGCAATAGGTCTCTTCAAATAATTCAATCAAGTTTTTCTTAATGTATTTATGTCCACTGTGGTCCCCATCAAGATTTAAAATTTGATCATGAATCATTAACATTTGATCGTACGAATCCTTAACAACCTTACTCCGAGTCTTGCATTGACCTTGAGTCATTTTTGCTTCTCCTAACTTTAGGAAATTAGCGAAGGCATTTTTTATTTTGGTGTAGAGCGCTAGCTGCTGTGCGTAAAGGGTTTCTAAATCAGCCATTTTATAGGAAATTGAGTAAAAAACAGCGTTTCCGAGATTGAATCAGGAAGCACGAACAAACACGGGTGACGCGAATAAATGCAAATTAGTGCTCCACGTGACAGCGCTTCTCGTTACAATCAATACCGACAATACAGTACCACTAAAACAATCTTAGATTGTAACTCGTGAATAATAATCAGACCGCAAGTTTTAGAGCCGGTTGAATTTAATTTGATTAACAATAGCGAAGAATTTAATAGTACTTAATAGTTGATAAAATTTTAAGAACGCTAACACAAACGCAATTGTGTAAATGAACCTGATTGACGATCAGCTGTTTAGTGAAGCTCGTTGAGTAGAAGCACGGAGCTCGGAAAGCTCGCGGCGGCAGCGATCAGCATGCGTACGGCCCGTGTCAACAGCAAGCAGTAGTGAGCGACGTCGGCAGCAAGTAGTGGTGCGTAGCGTTGGCCCACGTAGCTGATCCGTAGCCTGCAAAGGAGCAGGAGCAAGCAGCAGTGGCAGCTCTTCAAAATGACGTGCACGCACAGCGGCGTAGCAGCAACAACGCTGATGTGACACGCCGCCAAACGACGACGCTCTCAGGCAGGCTGGCCACCTGTAATCAAACAAAGATGGCCGTGGCAGCAGCGGCAGGGGCGGCTGTGACGATCACACGTGCGCCGGAAGCGCAAACGATGATGGCCGTTAGCGAGCTGGAGGCTCGCAAGGCTCGGCGCGCTTGGGCAGCCGACGATGTGTGGCCAAGGGCGAGCGGGTGGCTCGGCAACCTCGGCGTGTGGCAACGGCCTGCAGCTCCGTGTATAGGGCGGGCGCGGCGACGACGACCACAGCACCACGTACGGGAGCACGCAGGAGAGCACAGCAGCAGCGGCGGGTGTGGCTGCGAGCACGTGTGCGCCGGAGGCGCAGACAAAGATGGCCGTCAACGATCTGGAAGCTCGCACGGCTCGGCGCGCTTCGGCACCGACGATGTATGGCCAAGGGCGAGCGGGTAGCTCGGCAACCTCGGCGTCTTGTTCACGTCGCCCTGTTTCTATCCGGCTCGAAGGACCAATGTACAGGATGGTGCCCGGGAGGCAGTGCTCCTGCACTGTTGTTGCGCCAGATCGCGTGGACGAAGGAGTTGACGAGAACTTTTAAGAATTGCAGTGTACGCGGGTAAATAAAAAAGCGACTTCCTTTTATTGAATCAGCTTTAATTTTCGTTCGGAACTGAACACTCGCGTACATTGACTTTCTTACATAGGAGGGAGAAGAGACGCAGTGCAGCGTGACTGTCTCTTACTCCCTTTTGTGATGCAGAGCAGTTGCAGACTGACTTGGCGGAGCGATGTTAATCCGGGGAGAGCACGGAGCTCAGTCATACCGTCTTTTTCTAGCGCGGCGCATGCGCTTTTCACTCAGAGCACACGCGTGGAGCACTCGGCTGAAAACACTTTTGCCACACATACACGCACACAAATGACATCAAGCATTTGATGTCACACAATTACGTTGGAATAAAGTATATACAGTGTTACATTATGCTCCTAAAAATATACACAAGAGATGGATACAGTATAGGTATCCTTTTATAGCTATACCGAATCATCAAGGAAATCAATTAGAATAAAACGATGGACACAATATTTTACACTACATAATAAAAATTTTGTACTGAAACATATATTTTACACACGCGCGTATATACATAATATATATTTACACAAAAGATAGTTGACTAGATGTGACACGGCACGGGAGTGATGAAAACAAAAACTAAAAATGTATCTCATGCAATTAAATCAACGAGTATTATCGCGTCAGTCTACGGGCGCATGCCCCAGTCCTGCTTGATCATACCGGCTACCTTTTCCCTGATCACGTAAGTCGGGGCGCAAGTGTGCCCGGCGACAATTTCGGACATGACGCTCGCATCGATGACCTTCAGTCCCTTGACCCCGTGGACGCGCAGCCTTGCGTCAACGACGCCACCGTCCTCCCGAGGCGCCATGCGACAGGTGCCCGTGAAATGCCCCAACGTGATGGACACGTGACGGGTGACGCACGCCCAGTAAGGATCACTGGCGAACCTCGAGTGCTCGCAACCTGGGAACGGCTGGGGCAGGAGCGTCGTGTTGAACCGACGAAACGCCTCCGTCGACGCAACCCTTATCGCCTGCAAACAACAAAAGCGTTTTTACTTTGTTTGCCCCTGTAGACCTCGCACGTCCGTGGCTGTCGATATACACACTCACCGCTTTGATCCCGCGGACCATGGCGTCCACGTCCTCCTGGCGCTCGTAGTAGTTGGCCTCGAGGACGGGCGGGTCGAGGGGGTCGGGTCCGCGCAGTTTGACGTGACCGCGGCTCTTGGGTCTCATCAGCACCGGCACGATGCTGATGGCATCCTGTCCCAAGGACCGGTCGAACACCTGAAGGGTGAACTCCTTGCTCAGACCCAATATCGACCGCATGCCCCCCGACACGTCGCCCGTCAGCACCCCTATCCCCAACACCAGCTCTTTGATCTTTCTTATCAAAATGAAAATTTTAAAAATACGTTCGCAATTGATACATTTTAAAAATCAGTAGCGCACAATTACATTTACCATCTACATTCAATTTTATTTATGCATTAAAAACACTCATTTTGTTTAATTCATTTCTAAATTATGTGAAATAACTATAACACAACTTGATAATACATCTAAATTTTTTACAAGCCCATTAATTACTTTGGTTTTATTTCTTCTTTCAGCATAATTATTTTTTATATTTACATATTCAACATTGGTATTTAATTTTTATGTATGTATACCCACGCAGCAGTTGCATTTAGGAAAATTTGATTATTATCAATCAGTATCATGGTCATTTTCAACAGGCCCAGAAATATACTGTGATTTTGCAATTTCGAAACATGAGGGCTAAATTTACACAGGTAATACGATTATACTAAATTTTCTGCAAGCTTACGTGTAAAATTTAATGTTAATTTTTTTTGGGTATACGAAACACTTTAAATTATTCAACAATTAAAAATACTTGTGCCATGTTCCACAATTATGCCCTGTCGTTTGTGCGTTACTTTTTTTTGTTCGTTAGCAGAGCTCGCGCGCGTGTACCCCCCTTGCCTTTTCGGCAAACCGAATCGACTAATCACAGGTGAGTTAGAGAGAGAAAGCATGCAACTCTTCTCTCGGGAGGCGCGTACGCTCTTTCAGCATTGCATGCTCCCTCCAGTAGTATATGCTCTAAGGACCCGACGCCACCGATGGAACCTTCCTTGTTGGAGCGGGTGGTCTCCGGCCTCTTCCCGGAGCATCCCGATAGGAGGCGGGAGGACATACGTGTAGACCAAGTGCCTCTGTTTTCCCTCGATGAATTGAGGTTGGTGGCATCGGAGACGCCGGGGCGAAAGGCCCCTGGCCCGGACGGGGTGCCGTCCGAAGTCCTTAAGGTCGTAGCTGTGGAGAAACCAAACGTTTTTCAGGATATGTTTAATGCAAGCTTACGCGTTGGACTGTTTAGCGGGCGTTGGAAGATCCAAAGGCTTGTTCTTCTGGACAAGGGCAAACCCCCCCCCCCCCCCTGGTTCCGTCGTCATTCCAACCCTTAGGTATGTTGGACAATTGCGAAAAAATGCTCGAGAGGATGATAAGAACTCGCTTAAGACGAGAAGTCAGCCTCTCGGGAAATCAGAACGGATTCCGAAAGGGGCGTTCGACGGTTATGGCTGTAGCCGAGGTTCGTGAGTCGGTTAGAGAGGCATGGAAACCCTCTCATAAGACGAGAAGTGTCTGTGTCCTGGCGACTCTCGACGTCAGGAATGCCTTTAACTCAGCGGAATGGTCCGACATAATGACGGCCTTAAGGCGTCGGAATGTACCGAACTACCTTAGAAAGATACTGGATAGCTATCTCTAGGATCGTGTACTCCGGTACGATACGAAGGATGGATCAAGAGAGAGGCGCCTGACGTCGAGAGTCGCACAGGGCTCTGCCCTTGGCCCTGACTTATGGAACCTGGTCTACGATAAACTTTTGCGCCTTGAAATGCCTCCGGGGGTCAAGCTGACGGGTTTTGCTGATGACATAACACTGCACGTCACGGCGAGATACCGAGAGGAGGTCGAGCGCAAAATACGGTGGGCGGTTGCGATAGTGTCGGAATGGCTCTGGGACCACGGTTTTGAGCTAGTTGTAGGAAAAACGGAGATGGTCGTCCTTACTAGGCAATGGTGGTTCAGGGGGTATTTTCACCTGGACGTTGCGGGTGAGGCAATCTGCGCAAGCCCGGTTGTGCGCTACCTGGGGGTATAGGTCGACTCACGGCTCACCTTCTCGGAGCACATAAAGAGAGCAGCCAACAAAGCCGCCAAGGTTGCGGGAACGCTTACACGGTTAATGCCGAACGTTGGGGGCCCGCGGGAAGCCAAAAGGCGGCTTCTGGCGTCGGTCTCTAACTCGATACTGCTGTACGGCGCGGAGGTTTGGGCGGACGTGCTTGCGAGAAGGGATATCCGGGAGCGCCTCAACTCTGTGCAGCGCATTGGATCGTTAAGGATTGCGTGTGCCTACCGCACAGTATCCTCCGCTGCTGCTATGGTGATAGCACGAACAATTCCCGTTGTGTTGCTTGCGCTAGAGCGGCGAAGGAGGTTCCTGGGCTCCAGCGACGAAAGCGATAGCGACATGTGGGAAAGAACGTTGACGACGTGGCAACAGGAGTGGGGTCAGGCTGGTGTGGGTAGGTGGACTCACCGGTTGATACCGCATCTGCGGCCATGGGTGGAGAGAGCACACGGAGAGATAAATTACTATCTCACCCAGTTCCTCTTAGGGCATGGTCAGTTTAATGCCTATCTCCATCGCATGGCAGTAATAGCATCACCCAGATACTGTTACTGACCTGCATTGGATGATACCGTCGAACATACGTTTTTCGTGTGTGAGAGATGGGACCGTAAGCGCCAGCAGCTGATAGACAGGCTTGGCGTGGCTCCCACCTCCGAAAACATCATATCCAATACATTCTTCTCAGATACATGCATCACACTCTCACTAAACAAACACAGGGACACTTACGGATTGTTCTGGGTTGCGTGTGTCGGGTCCTTTTCCGGGCTTGCGTTCGAGGCCTGGCCGCGGGTGAAGCCGGACGATGAGGCCCAGGTAAGTCTGGGTAATCCACATCTGATATGGCTGAACGCCTCATAAACAAAAAAGACGTGGTAGGCCGACTTATCTAGGCTTACTACCACTAAGGAGGCTATATGGCGGAACCTTAGTGCCTTACGCCAGCTCGTTTTGTTGAGTTGTCTGCGTGGTCGTGAGACTGTTCGCCTGCTGCTAGTCTCGCTAGGATGACCGTAGTGTACCGACATATACATACATTACACGAACACCATTCTCAGACTTGTTACTCAACGCCAGGGCAGTCTCCATGGGTTGGACTGAGGGAATGTGGCGACTCCCGGCCGGCCCGAGCAAGTAGCGGTTCTCTCTGGTAACAGAGGTTTTAACCCTTTCCAAATACTTATTTCTAGAAAAAAGGGTAGTGCTGGCCTTCGCGGGTCTGTACGACATTTAAAAAGATGCTAAAATGAAAAACGTCGATGAAAAACACGTACCCCAGGTGGTAACCTCTCTGAGGGAATCCGCCGGCAGTTCCGATCCGGTAAAACCCCAGGTGACTGTCACAGGCCCAACGGATTCCGGGGGGGGGGGGGGGGAAGGGGCACAAAGACATGTCTCATGGCCATCAGGAACTGCTTAATGTATCATGGCCCTTTCCCACAGCTAAAGGGCGAAGAGGAAGTCTTTCGAGTATAGGCACAAACGACACCGAGGATAGCAACGTGTCAGTATTTAGCAACCAGACCCTGGGGGAGCTTGCCTCTTTCGAAGGAAGAGATGCTATGCTAAGAGTAAAGCGACAGCAAGTTGCTGAAAAAGTCCTATCAGCAACGGAAGACATTACAGAGACGCTATGAATAATTAACGATAAGTACGGCAACTCAGCGAACGCTGTTAAAAACGGGCTCAAAGCTGCGCTTAAACACCTTCAAGAGGCAGAGGTGCTAAGAATAGGCTTTATTTATAAAGAAGAATTGTATGCGGGTGCTTGGAAGTCAACATTTGAATGCCTGCAGTGGAGGGAACAAAGGCGAGATAATTTTCGACAGCATGTACAGAAGAAAACCTGAATACTGCCCTTAAATAATTAGAACAAGAATTAGAACGAAGTACAAGAAACAGGAGCCCTAAGAAAAGCCAGCAGGCTATGTCCTCAAAGAAAAAGAAAACAGGCAGTGGCAAACAAGAGGAGATTCCTATGAATGACAAAACAAGCCAGAAGAAAAAAGTCGACGCCACAACAACAGTAGTAGTCCATTCTGTTCAGACGGTTTTGTTAATTCTACCTGAAAAGTAGTATGAAAAATCAAAGATTTTATTTAAATTATACAAAACTGTATTAAGTTATAAGGTGTAGGCATACTTCATCGTTAAATAAATAATTAAATTAAACGTTATAAGACCAATATCATGAGTTAGCTTAAGCAGAGCATGCCAAGGGCCGCACAGTGTTTCTAAATGATAAAAAAGTGCGAAAATTCGTACTTTTCTGGAATTTAAGTTAAAAAAATTGTTTAATGTATATAATGTGTGTAAAATATTATATATATACTAATGNCTGATAAAAAAATTGTTACACCTGAACAAATTAATGCAATTATTTCAGCTGAAATTCCTTCTGATAATACGAAGCTCACAAAATTAGTGATTAAACACATGCTTTATGGGTCTCATACAGAACAAAGTCCTTGTATGATTGAAAAAAAATGTACAAAAAATTTCCCCAAATCTTTTACAAACGTAACTTCATTTCGAACGAATGGTTACCCTGAATATAGAAGAAGAAATAATACTTCCGAACAACATGTTTATAAAATTTGGAGAAAAGATGAAATTTTAGTAGATAATTCAATGGTCGTACCATATATGGTTTTATTTTTCTTCAAAAAACGCTCTCTTCAAAATTTCGAAATAATTTCTGTATAATGACGAAGATCTTTATATGAGAGCTTGTTCTTTAGTAATTAATAATGCTGTAAATAAATAGCAAAATTATTATGAATTTATAGTAGTAAACAATTATTATCAAAATGTAAAAAGTAGTGATAAATATATACTAACATAATGTCAAAAAATGGGACTTATGGTACAAGTATTAAAATTAAAAGCTTCTCAGATTTGTTTAATGTTTACCTTATAGTTAATTTCACGAGCAACGATATTCAAACATATGGAAATTCAAATAGTAATCTTAATCTAAATTTACTTTTTTTTGGAAACATTGATTCTGGTCATTATGATAAATTAGATTTTCAGAATCCTACAAAACGTTTAATCAATGATAGCTTACGAAAGTCATTCAGAAAACAAAAAGAACTTTGTCGTAATAATGATA